AAAAAATAGGGCTGACAGTCTTGCTCAACACAGGGTTGCCACAAACCTTCAATCTGTAGAAAATGCAATATTTGGGAAGTACAATAATGTAAAGCTCAATAAAATGAGGTATTCCTGTGGAAAAAAAAAGCATGCAATTACCATAAAAGTCAGGATAGTGGTTATCTGTGTGGGGAAAGAGATTATGATCAAGAAGGAATGTCAGTAATGTTGCATTTCCTGACCTGGGTAGTGTTTAACCAGCATGTGCTTTATAATGATTGGTTATTCCACAATTCACATTTTATGTATTTTTCTGTAAGTCTGTTATATATAGTAACAAGAAATTTAATTCTTTTTTTGTCTTCTCTATATTTTTTGTTACTATAGTTCTGCTATTTAAAATGCTGTTTTATTTTTCACATGGTTACCTTCATAATTACACCTTTATATACTATCCTCTCCCCCTCTGTTTAAGCAATATTTCTTACTCCCCTGCCATTTAGAACAGTTTGTATCTTCTTCCTCCTGCCTCACCTCCTACTCTTCATCCAATTACAATCAGTAACATTACCTGACTCAGGGTTTACTTTTGTGCCACTGAATATGCTCATCCTTTACCTACTTGATTTGTCACCCTTAAATGATACCTTTTGATTCTGAGCTATTACAGATGAGGTTTTCAAAACTTATTCTACTTCCAAATTATCTCTCTCTTCTCCCATTTTTTTTTGTAGTTCTAGTCTTCCTACATTGTCAGAGCATGAAACATTCTGTCACCCTCATCCCCACGTTTATTTTTTTTACCTCTACCTTTCATTTTTGTTTATTTGTCTTATATCTGAATTGATTCCCACTGGCAGCTCTTCAGCTAGAGTTTGCCCATGTTCTCTGCTACCTGCTGTTAGTTCTTGAGCAGTTTCCTCGAGAAAGGTTCAAATAATCAATATTCTCTGGGTTCTTGTTGGCTTAAAACTTAATCTGTAATCTATGTGCGAAGAACAGTTTGGCTGAATAAAAAATAATTTTTGGTTTTCTTTCCTTGAGTATATTTTAAGTGTTGCTTTTTTGTTTTCTGGCATTCAGTTTTTCTGTTTTGGGAAGTCTATGCCAATTTGATTTTCTTTCCTTTAAATGAACTTCTCGTTTTACCTGGCTCACCAAATAATTCTTCCTTGAAATTTGGATAAAGTTACTTTTTCCTTGAATTTATTTACTAATTGTTGGTTCTAGTAGTTCCTCTGATGGCCTCGGAAATGACTGGACTAAGGTTTTGCCAAGAACAAAGACACAGGTCAAGGACATTCACACTGCCCCTTTCTTTAAGCAATATTACTACGCCGGTCCAAAAAACTCCTGCCCCTGTTAACTCTATTTTTCTAGACATTTGCTAGATTGCAACATGAACAAAAAAGTATAAGTGACATGCAATAAACTCACATATTTAAAGTGTACTATTTGATGAGTTTTGACACATACAGTTTTGACATACACAGGAGCCCTCAGTTTGGCTCCAAAGTGTGCGAATACACATGATCCCCTTGACAGCCTCACTTGACTACTAACTCTCTGAGAAGAAAAAGGAATTTCAACCTTACTTCAAAGGAAAACCAAACAACACACACAAGAAGATGCCTACTATATCAGCTAAAATCCCCCAAATTCAAGTCTGAGTTTTTGCCTAAAGTTTCTTTAAAGTCTGGAGTTTGTTTGTTTGTTTTTTGCTCTAGTATCTGTACTAATGTTTTATCCCAAACATCTTTATTTTGAAATATCATTTCCTCTTCTAAAAATAAATACATAAATAAATAATGGGGGGAAGGATATAGCTCAAGTGGTAGAGCACATGCTAGCATGCACAAGGTCCTGGGTTCAATCCCCAGTACCTCCTCTAAAAACACATAAAGAAATGAAATATTGTTTCTTTACTGAAAGTGTTTGGATAAATAGCATATAATAATTATTTATATATATATATTAATTATTTATTATTATGTGATTACTGCATAGTCCAAATTTTAAAAGGCTCTTTAAGAATTTAGAAAATACAACCTACCACAATGATAAAAGAATCACCATAGTCCTTTAAAACTGTGCATAGATTCATATTTTTACAATGCTGTCTAGGTTCTAAAAGAACCAGCTCATAAAAGCCACAGTATTTATGGATTATTTACACTACAGTTTTAGATTCACATAACATATTCCCCAATATATTTGTAAGTAATTTCTAGATTTTCAAAAATATTTTGGGGGGTGATTAGGTTTGTTTGTGTTTGTTTGTTTGTTTAATGGAGGTACTGGGGATTGAACCCAGGACCTTGTGAATGCTAAGCACACACTCTACCACTGAACTATACCCTCCCCCACCCCCAATTCCCAGATATTTTTGATCTATCCCCAGAGGTTTTTATTCTCTCGTCAAACAAATACTTTATAGTGGAGAATCCTGGCAGATACAAATAATCAAGGTTAACATCACCAATAAAATACAGAAATATCATGTTGTTCTTCCAATATGATGCACTGAGAAGGGGACATCACCTTGTGGTATCCTTTAAAATAATGCAGAACCTCAACATTTATAAGAAAACATCAGACAATTTTGAGATAATTGTCCCAATTGTGGAAATAGTCTATAAAATAATAGACCAGTGTTCTTTAAAAGTGTCAAGGACTACTTTTGTAGTTACTAAATATTTTGTATGTTTATTATTTTTTACCAGTTGTAATATATTTCAGAGTATGAATGTACTATAATTTACTTAATCATTAACACACATTTAGGATATTGCCACTTTTTCACTATTACAAACAATGCTTCTGTGAACACTTTGTGCTTGTATTTTTCAGTCCTTGTGCAAATACATCTGTAGAGTTAATTCTTGACTCAAAAAGTACATACATTAAAAAAATTTATAGATATTATCAAATTGCTTTCTCAAAAGGCTTTAATAGTTTATAGTACTTTTTGTTTTAACCTCACGCTCAACATTATGAAAGTATCTTTTCCTGCAAATCATTTGCAACACCAAGTATTACTAATTATTTTTATATTGACCAGTCTGATAGAAGAAAAAGCAATGCATCAGAAGGAGGATTCTGGGAAGATGGGGAAATACAAAGCACCAGAAAGCTGTCTTCCCATCTAGACAACTGTACTGGCAAAATCTGGTGTAGCTGTTTTCGAACTCTGAAGTCTGTAGGAAGGCTTGCAACTTCCAGGGAAAGGCTTGGACAGTAAATTGTGGTTAATTCTGGTAAATTTAAACTCTTCGCTTAGCAGCAGCTATCCATTACCTACATCCTAGGCCCAGACCAGGAAGCTGTGCCTGCATGTCAGGAGCAATTTGCATGCAGCTTGTGGAAGTCAAGGAGCGTAACAAAGACCTTGTCCTCTAAATATGGGGGATCTGTGCTCTGATCGATGATTGCTGCTCTTCATTATGGATGTGCACACTGAGGTGTGCAGCCATTGTTGCACCCTGCCCCGCATTATTACAAGCCTCTCCAGCTCTGCCTGAAGTGACTTACAAGGGATTTAACAGGCTGATGTCTTTTTTCCTTACTCCTTATTTTTCTATTTTTTTCCCCTTCGGGAACCATATTAGGACATTTAAAGACATTTAAAGACTAGGGTATTCCAAAGCAACCACATCTACAAAGGAATTTATACAGTCATCATGCATGCCCAGGGAAAGGTGCAGGCTCAGAAAAGACTTGAGAAGACCCTAAATTTAGATAGACCTCAGATTCATTCCTAGCACAGAGACATCTACAATAATCAAATCAAAGAAAAAATGAAAATAAAAACAAGAAATAGCAAACCCTGGGAAGAAGGAAAATCTGATTTCAAGAGTTATCACATTATTAGATTCAAAAGTACAGTTTTCAACAACAATAGTAAAAATATCACAAGGCATATAAAGAAACAGGAAATTATGGCCCATTGAAAGGAAGGAAATAAATCAACAGAAAGTGTTCCTGAGAAAGACCAAATGGCAGACTTATTAGACAAAGACTTTAAAATAACTGACTGGAAGAGGAAGGGTATAGCTTAGTGGTAGAATGCATGCTTAGTATGTACCACATCCTAGGTTCAATCCCCAGTACCTCCATTAAAAAATAAATAAAAATAAATAAACTTAATTACCT